TATGGGAGAAGACAGACTATAACAAATAAGTAAAATATATAAATTATCAGGTGGTGTTAAGTGCTGTGGATTAAAAAAAAACAACAAAGAGACTGGTGATGGTGGGAGGAGTGCCATTTCAAAAAGGATGCTTAGAAAGGCTTCACTGAGAAGGTGGCATCTGAGTAAAGACTGTGGACTATAAAGGAATAAATCCTGTGCTGGTTGGCGTGGCTCTTCTTGCGCTCAGTAGCTTGTTTTTCCATGTCAGATTGTAAAATTTCTAATGAAATGGTATGTGTAATTAGGAACTCTTTGGGGCTCTAGACTTTGTTATCCTGGAGAGAGACAATTTTTAAAAAGAAGTGTCTGTCAATTCATTGAGTGCTTCCTATATGTCAAGCAATGTATTAAGCATTTTATATCAATCAATTAATATATTAGTAATACCTGTGTCAACACATTACTAATATATTGTTATGTACTATTACAACAGTACTGGAAGGTATTCATATGTTTGTTTGTCCAGCAAATATCCAATGCCAGGCCTTTTCCCAGATACTGGGGATGTAGCAGTGGACAAAACAAAGTTCCTATTCTCATAGCTAATAGTAGAAGATAGACAGTGAACACATGAACATGTGACCATATAGAATATCAGGTGGTGAAGGTGGTACTGCCTCATTTTTTTATGGCTTATTTCAAATGTCTTGGTGGGTTGTATAACACAGTAGTTATGAGCCCAAGTTCTGGAATTAGAGATCTAGATTTGACTCTACATTCTCTCATTGATGAGCAATGTAATCCCAAGCAAATTATTTCTAGGACTCAGTTTCCTTATCTGTGAAATAAGGCTAATGATACTTCATAAAATTGTTGGGAATATTAAATTAAAAAATTGAATTAGATGATCCACATAAAACACCAAGCATGGTGTCAGGCATAAAGCAAGGACTCTGAAAGTATTATTTATCTTATTTACTAACTCCTTACCTGGATATTTAATTTCTTGCAAAATACAATGATTGCCACAGGAGAAAATAATCTACTAAAAAATACAGCAAAAAAAAAAACCCTCAAAATACAAAAACAGTTTAGTAATAGAGAAACCACCTGTGCTAAGCACATACAATTGGCCAGACAACTTATTAAACCTATGTTGTTGCTTCTCTTGGGATGCATATGATAATAGCTTTTTTTTTTTTTCTGTGTGGAATTAATGCGACAGGGAGGACAAGCCCTATTACATAATGAAGCAATGAGACCTGAAGTGAATTTAAGCTGTCCAACAAGTTAAGATCTAGATGACATAGATCTTCAACTGTCTGGGCAGGGTTGGGACTGTTGGAGCCAGTGATCTCCTCAAGTAGGGTATGTCATATCTGGGTTTTATCCCTTACCACTTTTTGGAGGTTTCTGATCCAGAGGAGCTGGCAATGTTGCCCTGCAGTAGGTAGGTGGGTTCTTAGGCATCAGGTAAGGTTTTAGAGGCCTCATGTTGGTTTGCCCAGTCCTGGCCTGCTGGCCTCTTTCCTTGTCTTGGAGATATTTCCAGGGGAACTATATGCCTAAGGGGTAACAGCAGGATCTAAATCAAAGTCCATTTTATCAACCACTGCACAGGTACTCAAAATCCCTTTGCTGAAATCTAGTTGAGGACTGAATTGGAAAGCAATTGGGAAGTTGGGAGCTTGAGACCTATGCAGAACCTGTTTTTCCCACCTCACTGAGACTAAGCTTAACAGGCAGGGTCTAGTCAGGAGGTTGAAGCTATAGAGTGATTTTTTTTTTTTTTTTTTTTTTTTTTTTGGTACTGGGGATTGATCAGGGGCACTTGACCACTGAGTCACTTCCCTAGCCCTATTTTGTTTTTTTATTTAGAGATAGGGTCTCACTGAGTTGCTCAGCGCCTTGCTTTTGCTGAAGCTGGCTTTGAATTCACAATCCTCCTGCCTCAGCCTCCTGAACTACTGGGATTATAGGCGTGCACCACTGTGCCCAGCTACAAGGTGATTTTGAACAAAGAATTTTATTAGAATGTGAAGAATTGACAAATAGGTATCCAGTTGTTACTAGGTAACTGAGAACCCTGAAGTATATAGGGATAGCAATTGCAGAAAAGGACCACTCCTAGCGTTGATAGAACAAAGGGAAAAGACTGGAATGATTCCATGTTAAAAACTTGGAGGGAGGTTCTGCTGAACTAAACTTCAGCAAGTTGAGAAGGAGTACTGCTCAGCTGGTCCTGGTGTCAAAGAGCTGCCATAAGACCATTTTTTGCAAGCACTGGGTAAACTGCAAACAGGAACCAACTGTTGCTTCTGGGGGCAAGTAGCAGTTACTAGGTTAGCCAAGACGAACAGGAAGTAGATAAAAGGAGTTTGTCCCTTGTCCCTCATCTGGTCTGGCAGTCTCCCTGTATTGCAGGGAGCAGCTGGCAAAGCCAAAATGGGGTCTGCAGAGTCCCACCTCAGTTGCTGAGCTGACTAGAGTTGAGATAGGATAGCTCCATAAGTGGTATCATGCTCAGGTACAGGAATGCAGGTATAGATAGGTGATTGATTCCTAAGTGGTAGTTAAGCTTCCTGACTTTGCAGTAGAAGAGGAAGTGCAAGACAGAGGTATCTGAGCATGGCTGTCTACCTTCCAAGGCATAGTATCTACATCCACTAGTAGAATAGAGTCCAATGAATGTGTCGTGTACTTACAAACGAAATAATGATTCCTTGTGTGGAGAGTCAGGTGTGGATTCCAGTAAGGGAATTAACAGATGCCAGGCAGAGATGGTAGAAAAGATTTAGCTGACCTCTCTCCCCATGTAGTGGAGAAGCAGAAAGGCTAATATATGTAAAGTGTTCAGCTAGTGCCAGGCACATAGTAAGCATTCAACAAATGGTGGCTTTTATTATTCAAAAGGAGGAAAAGTACAAATGGTGTAGGAAATGAAGTAAATGGCTCTAATGGAGTTAGAACCCAGGGTTTGGACTTAGTACCTAAGTCTATATTAGGTAAGTGACCTTTATTAACATACTTGCTGCTCTGAACTCAATTTCCTTATGTATAATATGGTGATGATAATACTTATGGGCACTGAATGTCTTATATAGACTAACATATATAGCTAGTTGTCCTATTATTAATTAGAAAGAATAAGATTGGCTATTATTGATGTTGCTAATATTAAACAGAAGAGACTTCAGCAATCATTTTTTCTACTGCATCATTGTATAGATGAAGAAACAGTGGAGTCAGTCAGATCTGGGTTCAGATCCTTGCTTCCTTAAGTAAGTTTTTGAGTCTGTCTCAACAGTGTTGCAAGGACTGTAAGAACTAATACATTGCCTGACTTCAGTAAGTGCTCAGTAAATAGCACTAGAATAGCACTATTGTACTTGGTAAACACAATAATCCCTGGGGAGAGAGGGTTGGTTCATCATGATGATGACTATTCACACAACAGGCCTTTCAGGAGAGCCTGGGCACTCCATAAAGATATTGTGAGAACACTGGAGATTTGGGCCATGGTACTACCAATTACTTGCCTTGAAATATTGAACAGTCACTGAATTATTCTCCCTGTCAGTTTTTCTTATAAAGATCATGGTACTTGACCTTAGGTCCATTTCCCCAAGTTTTCTGGAAGCTGAATAATAAAATAAGAGTCTTTAGAACCCATGAACCTTGGGGAAGCTCATAAATAGCCATTCTTATATGACCACATTCTGGTGGATACTCTGTATCACATGGTACAAACCAAAACTGAAGGTAGGACTTCTGCTTTCAGAACTCAAATTGTTTTTGTTACAGTCAGCTCTTAATTTTTATGAGCTAACTGGGAAAATTATAGCATGAATAAAAGGAGGCAGCTGTTGTTGATGCTCTTCACTCTAAAACTTGAGGAGGCATAAGAGACTGTATTTTAAATCTCATTATCTCTCACCTGATCTCTTTCTTTAATATTGTGAAACCACAGGGTGGTTCAAAACAATACAGTTGCCATTTATTTAGCATGTACTTGATACCAGGCACTGGGCTGAACTTTTCACCCCATAGTATCTCATTTTGTCCTATAGTAACTCTGTGAAGGAGGGAGTTGTGTTTATTTATTCATCTATCTTTTTCAATAGAATCTCAGGCACAGAGGTAGAGTGAGTCAAACTTCTCAATTCATTGTATATTGCCATCAGTTCTTCATGCAAGACCTTTCCTTACGTTAATTACTTTATTCTCTTTTGTCAGTTTACCCCATGTTCATGCACCTCCCCTATAAGTAACCAATCATTTTGTGTAGTGCATATCTTTTCCTTTGCATATACTGTTAAGAAATGTACATTATGGCTTTGCATATGTATATTTTTAAAAGATATTAAATGGTGTTGTGTTATATTTCATTTTGTTTCTGACTTAAAAAAAAAAACGGTTCTGATGGAAGCACTATGTTTAAAGACCTCCCCACATTACTATGGGTTTATGTAATCTATGATTTCCAATTGTGGCATGATACACCGTGGTGTGTATCCACCACAGGAACACATTCCTGTTCTAGTAGTGGATAGCCAGCCTGCATTGGTATCAAACTCCTTACTGCTGTTGCATCTTCATATGTCTCCTTTATGGACTGTGTAGATATTTCTTTGGGATATATAGTGAAGAGTAAGTGGCACCAGAGGTGGGTTCTGTTATCATTTACAATTTTGCAAATAAAGAAACTGAGGCTTCGAGAAACTTCAATAACTTATCCAAAGTCACATAGATGGTAATAGCAGGGCTGGGATTCAAATTCAGGTAGTCTTGCTCAAAAAATTCTACTCTTAATGGCTATGCCATCATTATTTAAGTGTTTGAGACTTGAGGACATTTTATAAAAAATATAAAGGTCATTCTCATTGTTTGCAGTTTTTTATATTCTAAGAATCTATGAACCCAAGTGGATTGATTGTTTTTTGCTGAAGCACCTACTTCCCTCTAAGAGCTGCATAATAACTGTTTTTCTCTGGCTTTTATATCCTGCGGTTCTGTAGTGTTAAAAGCCACCTTGGTCATCCAGAACTGGTACCGAGGTTACAGAGCTCGGCTGAAGGCCAGACAACACTATGCCCTTGCCATCTTCCAGTCCATCGAATATGCTGATGAACATGGTCAAATGCAGGTCTGTTTTGCAAACTTGTATCTCCTTTTTTTTTTGTAAAGTATTTCTCTTTATTCATTGTTACTGAAAGAATGAAAGTTTGGGTCAATTTTAAGTTGAGGAAGCTTTAATAGAGCTTAGAACTAGCTGTTGAGAGAGTGTGTGGTTTTGGAAGAGGATGGTGTTTTTCAGTCTCAAAGTTCACATTTTCCAAAGGGCTGCCAGATGTCTAGCTAACTAATAAAAATAGCGTTAATCTATTTTTGGGGATATACCCTAGTGAAAAGTTGTTGATTTATGAAGGGAAAAAATATTTTAAGGAATTAAAAAAATGGAAGAATTTYCAGGGAACAAATCTGTGAACATTCTAAAAGCTTGTATAAGGATTATTAAAAAAAAAAAAGGGTACTTTTTCTTTTTTTGGGGGGGAGGAGGTACTAAGGATTGAACCCAGGGGCACTTTACCACTGAGCCATATCCCCCGTCCTTTTTATTTTTATTCTTTGTTGAGTTGTTGAGATTGGTCTCGAACTTGCAATCTTCCTGCTTTAGTCTCCTGACTCACTTGGATTACAGGTGTGTACCACCATACCCAACTTTAAAAATGAGAACTTTTTAACAATAAAAAAAATCTTGGAATGATCTCTAATGTAGTTATTGATTTAAAAAAAATCAACCTGCAGAATAGTATGTAGAGTTTATCCCATATATGTGAAAGAAAATTAAATATACAGCTGGGCATGGTGGCTCACATCTGTAATCCCAATAGCTCAGGTGGCTGAGGCAGGAGAATCGAGAGTTCAAAGCCAACCTCACTCAGTAACTTAGTGAGGCCCTAAACAATCCGGTGAGAACCCCGTCTCTAAATAAAATATAAAATAGGGCTGGGAATGTGGCTCAGCAGTTAAGCACCTCTGGGTTCAACCCCACTTAAAAAAATTAAATATACAGCAAAATTCTGGAAAAAGATATATAGCAAATTGTTTATAGGGGTTAGTTCTGGGGACAAGAGTGATATTAATAAATAGGGGAAAGGGTGTTAGAAGGGACTTCTCAGGCTAGAGATGTAGCTCAGTGATAGAGCATGTGGCAAATGTGTGAAGGCTCAGGGTTCAATTCCCAAAATCCCTAGTACTAGGGGGGAAACAAAAGAAAAAAGGACTAACCTAACAATCATATTTATGTATCATGTTATAATTTTTAAAAATAAATCAAAAATTCAAAAATATTTAAATTGCTATATTTCCTCTTGGAATTCAATCAGATGCTCCCTTTTCCCTGATTAGGAGCTCACAGTGTTGGCTATCTTTTTAAGCACTATTTAATCTTACCACTAAAGAGAAAAGAGGAGATTATAATCAACAAAATTTAGTAGCTGTCTTAGATTGGACTTTCTAGAAGCAGAGTTTGAGAGAGAGATTCTGGTACAAGTGACTTATTGAGAGAATGTTTTCAGAAAAAACCTATAATAAGGCAGTGAAAAAAATCAAGATATGATGGTAGAAGAAGCCAAGCAAAAATGTGCTTTCTAGAGAAGTCTGACCTTAGCTTGATCCCACCAGGAGCTTTCAAGTGTGAAATGCATCATACTTTGTCCTATAAAGGGGTCAGGAGGCAGGGGACTGATCTGTTACACTCTTGTTTCAACCAGTTGTTGTCTGTGGGCAACCTTCCAGGAGAGATGTACATGTAATATCCTCGGTGACTCTGAGTGCAGTGTTGCCCAGCTTCATGGACAGGGATAGGGGTGTGACCCTTAGTAGATGAAGCAACTAGAAGATGAGTTCCCCAAAAGAGTAAGGAACTTGCACAGACCACCAACAGTATTTGTCACAGTAGCTGCTTAGGGTTCATTAATTGATTAATCTTTTTATTTTGTTCAGTTATCCAATTTCTTTACCTTCATGTTGGAAAACTGTTCACGAGCACGTAAGGAAGATCCAGGTAAGCAAAAACTTTAGTCTTTTCAAAAGTGACCATTAAATATTGAATTGCCCTCATCAAGAAATATAAATCCTGAAGATGGGAGAATGCTAAGAAGTTAAAAAGATGCCTACCTCTCTTGCCTGTGTGACACCTAACAACTAGTGAAATCAGTTCAACTGACTTTTTTCTTCTCTTGATGGTATTAACAACTAGTGAAATCAGTTCAACTGACTTTTTTTCTTCTCTTGATGGTATCTGCTAAATCAGCATTAATTAATTTTTTCACTTTTCAAAAAACTGAATTAGATTTCATTGACCATGCATTTGTTGAATACCTTCTCTTGAACCACAGTCCTTGCTGTACAATAGTAGCTTAGTAAAGTATATCTCATTTTTCACCCACAAAAATTTTGTATTGAGAAATAAAAATATCTTGAGTATTTCAGGCAGTAGATCTCAGTGAAAATGGCAGATTAAATACAGTTGGCCCCAACATATCTGTGTTTTTCTCTTTCTCCTGTTTGTCTGCTATGGTTTGAATGTGTTTCCCAAAGTTTGTGTTGAAAACTTAATCCTCAATGCAATAGTGTTGAGGGGTGGGACCTTTAAGTAATTATGTCATAGGAGGTCCTGCCCTTATGAATGGATTGATGCCATTATCTTGGGAGTGAGTTAATTATCTTTGGAGTGGTGTCCTTATAAAGTATGAATTCAGCCATCATCTCTTTTGAACATGTCTCTCACCATGGGATACTTTTAGCCATATGACTTATGTATGATGTAGCAAGAATGCCCTCACTAGACATGGCCTCTTGATTTTGAACTTCCAGGTCTCCAGAACCCTTAGCCAAATTAACTTCTGTTCATTATAAGTTATGCAGTCGGTGGTGTTCTGTTATAGCAGCATAAAACAGACTAAGACACTATAATCTATCTCTATCTAGTCATTCTGAATCAAAGACAGGTGATATAGGTGTGGTTCAAAACTGATTTTTTTCAGAGAGAGAATATCTTTTTTGTAGATGGACACAACACAATGCCTTTATTTATTTTTTAATGTGGTGCTGAGAATCGAACCCAGGTCCCTCCCTTGCTAGGTGAGCGCTCTACCGCTGAGCCACAATCCCAGCCCTCAAAAATGATTTTAATATTATAATTATTTGCAAGGCATGTATTTCTCACCAAATTAAGACCTGCTGTTGTTATTTCCATGGTAGAGGCCAGACCTAAAAACTTATTTTTCTTTAATTTGGGCTAATCATTTTTTTTGCTGTAATTAAAACATATATGGTATCTAGGAGCGTCTTTTAAATAATTTGTAAACACCCTTCAAAGTGGTGAAAGAATGATTGTTTTAATGGAATGATTTGAGTACACATGTATGAAACTTATTAAAGCATTTACTGATCCATAGACGCTTTTTGAATGGTGAAATAGCCAAACCTGAGAAATGGGGAGTGGGTAGAAGTCATTTTCATTCTTTTAGATAGTTGCATTTTGAAGATAGTGGCTTGTCCTTTGTGTTCTTTGGCAAGAAATGTTTTGGGCAAGAAATGTAATGAAGAAATGAAACAGGGCTTGTTCTACTAATGATGTAGTATTTCAATCCAGGCTCATTTCATCAGAGCCACTTATGGAGTTTCAGGGCCACAGATGGCTGGGTTCCAGCCCAGAGATATTTACTCAGACTCTGAATTTTTTTATAATCTGCATTAAAAAAATTCTACAGATGATTTTAAAATATAACAAAATATTTTTATCAAAGAAGGGAACAGTATTCTTTTTTTGGTACTGGGAATTGAACCTGGGGTGCTTTACCACTGAGCCACATCCCCAGCCCTTTTTATTTTTGAGACAGAGCCTCACTAAGTTACTGAGACTGGCCTCAAACTTGAGATCCTCCTGCTTTAGCCTCAAGTTGCTGGGATTTCGGACATGTACCATCCTGCCCTGCTTATTTTAGTTTTTGTGGTGCTGGGGATTGAACCCAGGGCCTTGTACATGCTATATAAGTACTCTACTACTGAGCTACATCCCCTATCCCCTCCCCAAATCTTTAAATCAGTGGGCATTCTTTTTTTTCTTTTTAGTTGTTGATGGACCTTTATTTTATTTATTTTTATGTGGTGCTGAGGATTGAACCCAGTGCCTCACATGCTAGGCAAGTGCTCTACCACTGTGCCACAACCCCAGCCCTAAGTGGACATTCTTAATTTTAATGTGGTACAATTTTTTTTCTTTATGGTTAGTGCTTCCTGTATAGTTTAAGAAATATTTCCCTGATATGAAGATATGTATATATATTCATTAGTACAAAAATAAATACAGGATTAACCTATAGAATAAACCGGAAATGAATGACATTTTTACCCAGAGGGTAGGTACAGAGTAGAAAGAATGGGAGAGGGAGATTGGGTGGAAGGGATGAGGGGGAAGAGTGACACTTCTCTGAGTATACCTTTTTGGATTTCTAACTCTTAGAATCATGATTATGTTTCACATTGCCCCCTAAAAGTAATAACTAAACATAAGAAGTGGGGGGGAAAAGTGTGTGTGTGTGTGTGTGATCTCAAAGTAGAATACACACTGTGACAAATTAACTGTATTACAAATGAATAATATAACCACCTAAAGAAGTGGGGAAGAAACATACTAATCTAAGTAATATTGAAAAATAGCATTTTAACTCTAATGTACTTTGATGAGTTTTGATCTTTATTTATTCTGCTTGTGGTTTGCTAAGCTTCTGTGATATATCTAAGTTGGTATTTTTCATCAGATTTGAGAAATTTTCATACATTAATTATTTAAAATATCTTTCTAGTCTAAGTATCTTATTCTTTGTGAATCCTGTTTTTACTTAGAAGGACCTGAAATATTTAAACTATGGATCACTATGCCTGTATTTCTGGATGTTTTTATGTTTTATCTTTTAAAAATGTTAATACTTCATAACATTTGGATTTTTAAAAATTTTTAAAGATTTTTTTGTAGTTGTAGATGGACATCATGCCTTTATTTTATTTATTTTAATATGTGGTGCTAAGGCTCGAACCCAGAGCCTCACACATGCTAGGTAAGCACTCTGCCACCAAACCACAACCCCAGCCCCTGGATTTTTTTATATTAAACTATTGAATGGGAAAATTTTAATATCCAGTGTTTGAAAATAATTAAAAAAACACAGCTGTAGCCAGGTGCAGGGGGGCACACCTGTAATCCTAGCAGCTCAGGAGGCTGAGACAGGAGGATCATGAGTTCAAAGCCAGCCTCAGCAAAAGCAAGGCACTAAGCAACTCAGTGAGACCCTGTCTCTAAATAAAATACTAAAAAGGGCTGGGGATGTGGCTCAGTGATTGAACCCCTTAGTTCAATCTCCAGTGCCAAACAAAACACAACTACAGAGAAAAATTTCCAAGTAGTTAACCAATTTTTCCTGCAACATTTATTTGATAATATTTTCACTACTGATTTGTAATGCCTCCTTCTTAATATGTTTTAGTTGGTTTTTTTGTTGCTGTAACCGAAAGACAAGAACAATTTTAGAAGAGAAAAAGTTTGGGGCTCACAGTTTCAGAGGTCTCACTCCGTAGATGGTCAGCTCCATTGCTCTGGGCCAGAGGTGAGGCAGAACATCACAGTGGGAAGATTGTGGTGGAGGAGAGCAGTTCAGGACATGGCACCAGAAAGCATAGAGAGACAGACTACTCAAAAAGGGCACATGTAAATGCCAAAGCCAACAGTGACCCTCCTCCTCCAACCATATCCTACCTGCCTACAGCTACCACCCAGTTGATCCCTATTAGGGGGTTAATGCACTGATTAGGTTAAGGCTCTCATAACCCAATCATTTTTACCTCTAAATCCTCTTGCATTATCTCACACATGAAGTTTTGGGGGACACCTCACATCTAAATCAAAACAATATATTCATTTAAAAATGTATTATTAGAGGCTGGAGTTGTGGCTCAGTGATAGAGCACTTGCTTAGCATGTGTGAGGCACTGGGTTCAATTCTCAGCACCGCATATAAATAAATGAATACAATCAAGGTCCATCAACATCTTAAAAAATATTTTTTAAAAATATATTATTGGTCTTGGGTTGTAGCTCAGTGGCAGAGCACTTGCGTAGTGCGTGTGATGCCCTGGGTTCAATCCTCAGTAACACATAAAGGTAAATAAATAAAATATTGTGTCCATTTACAACTAAAAATAAATACAAGAATTTTTTAAAAATAAAAAATGTATTATTGGGTTTATTTTTGATCTCTGTATTCCCTTATATATCTCTCTACTGCAGAGTCCTAGGATCACACTGATTTAATTATTGCAGTGTAACAGAAAAAGAGATTGCAGATTATTGCCATTGATTGATCTCTAATGCCCTCTTTGGTGAGAGGATTATAGACAACTTCTACCTAGACCTGTATAACTGAAGTGTTGAGATCCCTAAGCCAAGTATTTTTAGGAGCCAGAGGTTATTTAACATTCCCAGATACTGAGCCCAGATTAATGGATTGAATTCTGAGGCACAGAGTATCTCAAGACATGAGGTGTTCCAAAGGTGAGAGATGACCTTAAAGCAGTATTTGTCCTTGCAATCTCACCACCTCATTTATGAAAATCATTTATACCAGTTTATCTCTCCATCCTATTACTTTTAGAGCTCAAAACCAGTTCATAGAACTTGATGGGAGCAGAGTCTTCATGCAAATATTCCTAGTTGTTTTTTCACATCAGCCTCCTCCTCAAGCAGAAATCTGCCATACCTAGCAGCAGGTTTAAACAGGCTGGGTTTTTTATTTTTCTTTCTGCTTCCCAGATCAGCCAAAGTATTTGGTGTGTGTGTGTATATATGTGTGTATATACATACACACATACTCTAAAATATATATATATATATTTTCTTTTTCAAAACTACCTTCATTTATTTATTTTACATTTTTATTCTATGGAGTGCTAGGGTATTTTATATTTTTTCTTGATATGGTAAATAGGATATTTTCTCTATGATAT